TAATCTCTTTTATATTTCAAAAGAGATCACTCAAGACACAATCCAAACATGTAATTGCATGCTGCTTCATTAGCATAGCTGCTATTAATCCTGCTCCACTAACATCATAGAAGTTAGGGTTTATAACACACAGAATAATTACATAAGCTTTGGTGGCATTTACATGTTGGGCTGCTAAGCAAAAGATCACCAGTTTGAAACCATCAACCTCTTAGTGGGAGAAAGACCAGGTTTTCTACTCTCATGAAGAGTTGCCATCTTGGAAACCCACAGGGCTGGTTCTACCAGGTTGTCTAGGGTTGCTGTGAGTCAGAATTGACTCACAAAATGGAGGATAATTACTTAATATTGAGAATCATGGCTTTTGGGCCAAATCGATACATACAAGGTTAAGCCAAAAGGTATTGCTACAAAATATTTATTAAACCTTTATTAAACAGAAATACCAAAATGTGGAGCTATTGTTCTAGATGTATTATCCTCTGTCTTACTTTATGTGTTTCTGAAGGTGATGCTTCAGTTTTCTAACCTTTCCTTCATGAACTTTACACTCTGATTTACACCACATGAAGTTTTAACACCCTTGAGTGACTCAGATCATGTTTTTTGTCAAAGTTCCTTGATTTGAGGAAACAAAAAGAATTCTAAATGGGCACAATCAAGGTAAGGCTTTCCAATGAACATCTTATAAGACAACCCTTGCTGGGTGCATGTAGTGATAACAGCTGCAGCTCTGATTACGTTCCTTCTATGATGCCTTTTGCCGTTTTCAGACTCTTTGATTGTGCCCGGTTTGTAGTCTTCCTTTAGTGCCTGTCCCCTTAATGTCATGAGAGCATGACGTTCCTTTCTTGACATACTCAGCTTTCTTGTGGTCGTGTTGCATCATAGCTCTCTCTCTAGTTTTTAAGGCTTTTGAAAAAGAGATCTTAGTTTTGAGAATGGTGTTCCCCGAATCTCAGTAAATATTTTTAATATGTTATTTTAGGCTGAGTCTGCGTAGGTACTTACCCTGTTTCCCCGAAAATAAGACAGTGTCTTATATTAATTTTTGCTCCCAAAGATGCGCTAGGTCTTATTTTCAGGGGATGTCTTATTTTTCCATGAAGAAGAGTACGGTACACATTTATTGTTTATTGTTTTATTAAAAGAGACTTCGCACTTCCTGTCTGCGCCAGCTGTGCTGCGGCTAACAGTGAGCTTCGTGGTGGCGCCCGCCGCTACAATCCAGATTTACAGTGGCGGGGGGCCCGGGGGACTTATATTTCAGCGAGAGGCAAAACTAAGTGTGTCTTATTTTGGGGGGATGTCTTACTTTGGGGAAACAGGGTAGTAGGGGATGAATGAATAAATGTGTGGAAGTTATGGAATATACCTAAGAAGAATCACTACCACCAAGTTGATTCTGATTCATAGCAAACTTATAAGGACAGAGTATAAGTGCCCCTTTGGGTTCCTGAGAGTTTAAATCTTTATGGAAGTAGACAGACAGCCTTATCTTTCTCCCTTGGAGTGACTGGTGGGTTCAAACTATGGGCCTTATGGTTAGCAGCTCATCACTTAGCCCACTGTGCCACCAGGGCTCCTCTAAAGAGTATTTTACATTAATATAACATGACAAGATATGGGCGCATGGAGTTGCTAATATGAAAGTAAGGCAGTTTATTTATTACTAGACCAGAAATTAAGTCATTCTGGTCCTGTGTCATTCCATATTCTGGGTTTGTGTTATTCGTAATTAAAATCAAGGGAAAGCTTTTATCAATATAGAGAGGCCTGTTTATGCTTAATGGGATACTTGGTGGCTCTCTGGGTTAGGCATTGATTGTTAGTTACAAGGTCAGCAGTTCAATCCCACCAGCTGCTCTGAGGGAGAAAGATGAGGCTGTCTGTTCATGCAAAGATTTACAGTCTCAAAAACTCTATATAGGGTCACTATGAGTTGGAATTTATGGGGTGACGGTGAATTTGTTTTTTTTCTTTATTGGCTTGTTTATGTTTAGTGACTGGTTATGCATTCAGCTACCAACTGCAAAGTTGATGGCATGAACCCACTTGAGCCTCCCGGAAGAAAGATGTGGCTGTCTGCTCCTGTAAAATTTTACACCCTTGGAAATCCTGTGGGTCAGTTACACTCTACCCTACAGGGTCATTGTGAGTCGAGTTGACTTGATGGCATTGGATTTTGGTATTTATACTGACGAGTTAGGAGGCGAAAGAGGGAGAGGTTGAGAATGAGGAGGAGGAAAGGAAACGGCATGTGTGTGAGAGAGGTTTTAGAACTAGCAGGAAAGACCCTCTGGGAGCTGTATAAAGGGCAAGGAGACAGCACATTAAAGACTATGATGTCTGTGGATATTGGGGAGGAAGTGTATGAGGGAACTTCAGAAAGCTTGTGGAAAATTATCTTTAAATCCAATTTTTTCCCATGAACTTTCTAACACCCCCCCCCACCTCTGTGGGTATAGAAGATAGATAGATATGAAATGTAGGACTCATGTGTGATGGCTTCTATCACGTTAGAGAGGCTGGAAGGAGTATGGATAGGTGGATCAGCAGGAGTTTTAGAGTTTCAGGAGGGTGGTTTAGCCCAATGCCTGGGTTTAATCAGTTGGAGAAGAGTGGGTAGGGTGGTGGTGGTAATGGTCTTTAAAATAATGAAATATAGCTAGAAGGGGGCTAATAGACTATGTGAAATAGAAATGAAGGTTTTGTCTTTATTTTTTTTTTAAATCTGACATATTTCTTTGCTGCTTTTCTTGATGCTCTAATGAGTAGGTTTCAAAGATCCAGTGCCAGTGCATTTTTCCTGACACCACAGCTCTGCGGGTACATGCTTTGAGTAATTTACACATGGGTTTAATTTAGGTGATACTGAGGATGTAGAACTATTGATTTTCTTTGAAAGACAGGTCCCAAGGAAAGAGTAGACAATTTACGGATGAATTATTATACATTGCCTATGGAATGTTTGCAGTTTTGTAGATTTTCGTCATATTCTTTGAGCCAAAGGTGGTTTACATATTTTCTTGACTTAGAGCAACCCATTCTTTCTTGCTAATATACCAATATCATACCCATCTAATTTAATTTTTGAATTACTAACATCCTTTCCAAGCACCTCAGATTGCACCATATGTATTAGGAGATTACTTTATCCCACTTAAAGTGATAAACCTACTGGAGTCGCCTAAATTGTAGCTTGCTGTACCTATGGACAGTCAGTATGTTTTGAGCCATTCGTTTGTGCTTTAAAAATAACAGAACTAATATCCCTTTCCATATACAGAGAGTAAACAAACAAAAAGGTTCAGACTTATGTATTAATCTTTATTCATGTCTGCACATGAAGTCTGTTCTTTGGCTGTGAATAGTTGCTAGTTGTTGAGATTATTTTTGAACCTGGCTTATTTTCTTTTTGATACTTTTGTGTGCTGCATTTTTCATTATTTCTATCTAGTATATAAACTGACTGAAATTTTCACAATACGTTTGGTAGCTGTACAAAATAAAACAGCTGTTTAGATAGAGTGTACTTAACGTACATCTATCTTTGTCTCATACCCAGCCCAAGAAGTTGTGTTTCAGGAAACATCACTCCAGAGGTGGTAAGATGTGTATTCCAAAGCCTTGCTGGTTGTGATTTCATCGCTCTATTTTATGCTCTCTATTAGTTACACATAAGGACAGGACGAAGTACTGTTTGTTCTATGACCTGACAGACGGAATTCTCAGCTGAATATCCATTTACATTATGTTCTCATGCCGAACTTCTCAATTTGTGATTCTCTGTATCCATTGATACACTATAGGGCAGTACTTGGACTGCCTACCTTTCAGAAACGAAAAAGCTTAAGGTTTCTTAGGTCAATCGGATATCCCTGGTTATGTTGTATTGCCCTGTGAACCCCCTCTACACATCTGGCTTTCAACTTTACACTAAGAATCTAAGATCTTCATCCTTTCCTTTATCATATTTGGTGATTTTGAAAACTGGCATATTGTGCTTCCAGGATGATTAAGTTTTGTTAGTGCATTTCATAGCCTGTTAAGTTCTAGGGTTTTTTCTTTAGTTTTAAGATTCTTGTGTTTTCATTTCAAGGAGAGATTGAAAATGAAGCAGTGAGGACTAGATGACCCGACATCATCAATCAAATCTGATGGGAATTGATGTTACCATCAGTGATCTTAAAACCCTGGAGTTTTTAGGGGAACCAACTCTTTGAGAACTTAGATCCAAAAATGTCGTAGCATTGATGAAAACCGTACTATATTTTTTATGTACTGGTAGTTAGAATTTATTTGTTTATTTATTATGTAGTTGAAATTGTGTATTGTACAAAGTAGAGGCCTAAAACCAGCCACATGAGAGTCTAAACAAATATTTGGCGGTGGTTTTCATGAAAGGCTTGCAAAATACTGAATAAGAGCTTATCAGAAGTGTTGAGCATAAGGGTTATTGAGTACTCAGTTAGTTCCTATTGCTTTTCTTTTGGTGGGATCATCTTTTAGAATTTAGTATCGTTTTCATTCCCTTTTTGGGGGGTATTGTTGAGAATGTATTATTGTCTTGATACTGTAGACATTGAGAAACTATTGAGATAACTAGATAACCTTTTTTTTTCTCCAATATTTTACTGATTTTTAAGGATTTAACCTTTATTATTTGTTTTTAATGTCAGCATCAGTTTCTTTAAATCTGAGAGTGAAATTGATTTTACCGTGCTCTGACTTCTCATTTACTTTGCTGTTTCTTATAGTCACCTTTCCCTAGGACATCTTTCATCATTTTCCCAAATAGTTTGTGCTCTTGATTCTTATTTTTCATTTGCCTATTAATAAATTCTTTAGTACTATTCAGTTGGCCACACACATAGTTAGTCATCTTGGAGTATCTATATTTTAGCCAAGGATTGAACTAGCAATGACTTTTTTGTCATAGTGGACTTTTTATTCATTTCTAAAATTGGTTTTATTTATTTATTTTTATTTTTTAACAGATAAGTGTAAAGCAGGAAATTACTTTTACTGATGTATCTGAGCAACTGATGAGAGACAAAAAACAAATCAGAGAGCCAGTAGACTTACAGAAAAAGAAGAAGAGGAAACAACGTTCTCCTGCAAAAGTAAGAGAATATATTAAGGTGGTGGTTCCTAACCTCTAAATCTCAAACTGTTGGTTAATCTTATGGGCATAACCTGGCTGCCCTATGAGACAAAAGCCAAAGTCATGTGCTTAGGAAGGTTGGGGCATTGCACCAGCTTCACCTGGAGGGATGCATGCACACAGGGAGGTGTTGGGCCATCTCTCACCTCTTGCCCCACTTTTCCATTCCTCTCATTTTTCCTAAAAATGTCACCAGCGTATCTCATTAGTCAGTCTCATTAGTAACTTTCTCATTAATAATAGTTCTCCTTTTTTTAATATTAAGGTTTCAGGAAAAGTCAACTTCAGCTGTGTATCGGGAAAAAATAACGGGATACCTGTACTAGAATGTAAGCTCCATGAGGGCAGGGACTTGGTTGTGTTCCTCATTGTATCTCAAGAACCTCCATTAGTAGGCTTAGTAAGTCCTCAATAAATATAGGTGGATGGATGAATTTGTAAGTGAAAAAGTGACCCAGTAAACCTCAGGAATTTCTTGCCTTTAAAAATTTTAATACAGTGACCTTTTTTTTGTATTTCTACTAATTTCCCAGTGAGTGTGAACTTACATCTTTGCAGTTATTATTTTTCACGTTTTATACCATCCTCCATGGAATGAAGTCTTTTTTTAAAAAGATTTTATTATAGCATGATCTTTAAAAAATATTTTTTGTGGCTACCCTTTTTTGGAATTTGTGGTTTGAAATCTTAATAATCACTATTATTTATAGATATTTATATTTTGGATAGAGTGATGTGCTGATTCAGGAATTTTGCAAGCCAGCTGCTTAGACTTGATGTCTGGAAGTTGGTCATGGTGAGAACATTTAGAAAATGAAAATCAGCAAACACTACCAGCTCTCTATTACATTGTTGAGCATTAACCAGTGTTCTGTTACTTTTGAAATACTCAAGTAGGCCCACTATAGCAAAATTTGAAAAATATTTCCTTAGTTTTCTACAATATTCCTGTTCTATAGTTTAAAAACCTTGTGTATATGTATTTTTAACATTCCTAACTTTATGAATACTTAGTGTGTATAAGCTGTCTTTATGCTTCTTGTTATTACTGCGTTTATAAACATTCTTATTAGCTCTGTAATGATTTTTGATATCGTAAATGTATTTAACAGTGACTCTGTTCTTGGACATTTAAGTTGTACTCTTTCTCTCTGTTTGAATCATGCTGCACTTGTGTTTGTGTGTAGATCTTGGTGCACTGCTGAGTTCGTGGGCACCAGCTTTTAAAGGATTTCTTCCAGGGCTTGGAACTAGTTTGGACCAGTTCTGTCATGGCCCACCATGAAGCAAACCTGGAACAAACCTGAATTTAAAAGATTTGGGTGATCTGGAGAGTTAACCAGCATGAAAAGTGTATGTAGTGAAGCCCCAGAATGGCAACTCAGAAGAGGCATTGTAAGCGCTTTCAGGAGCCAATGTGACACTGAGTTGTTGCCAGGACTCTGAAACACATTTGAGTGATGCCAGCCTCTGCCATCTTTGAGCGGGCCACCTGTGTTTTCTCCTGAGCTAGTCAAGAGGTGTGGTTCCTTGGAATGTGCACACTGCCCTTGTTTTCCAAGGAGCAGGTTAAGCTTTCAGTCGGGCTTCATCTCCTCATTTTTCTCACTATGGTTAATGGTCAGGTTCCTTCTGGTGTCTCTTTGTTGGCCATTACTGGATTGGACTGAACAGTTCAAAGTCCTGGTTTCTTGGTAATGAACTAATCAGTTAGTTAAATTCCTAACCAGCCATGGAACTAAAGTATCTTCTTCATTCTTACCAGCCTTTAGTAAATAAGGACTGCCGATTTATAGCTTAAGTCGGCTGCTCCATTATAGTTTAAATTTGCATTTCTCTAGTTACCAGTCATATTAAACTCTTTTTATACTAGAAACACTGTATATCAGATAGGGGTGTTAGAATAATGAAAAGAAAACCTATTTAGGAGTGAATTTAAAGTGACACTGACATGTTTTATGTAAATGACTGTGGGCCGTCTTAAACACGGGGCTGCAGTCTCCAGGGAAAGGGAGAGTGTCTGGAAATTTAGTATTTTGAAGCATACCCAGCGAGCTCTTTTACAGATTTTCAGCAGTGGGTTTTAAAATTCACATTGAAAATCATCATTAAAGTAATTCTTTCTGCCCCTTTATATAAAGAGAAAAGCTTATCTTAGGTTTATAAGTCATGAGTACTGCTTCTTGTAAACTCCTGAAAAATAATTTTAAATTTTTCTAAGAAGATTCTACTCTTGCTCAAATCTTGAATTTTGCTGGTATGAAGATATAAATATTTTGTGTATATGTCACCATTGAGTCTCATTGGATTGGGGGTCTAGGTGGGAAATTAAAGTAATACAACAGATTGTTGTTGTTTTGTGTGCTGTCATGCTGGTTCTGAACCCGGAGCATCTCTAGGCACAACCGAACTAAACAGTGCCGAGTCCTGCACCAACCTCACAGAGTGTTCCTGTGCATGAACCCAGTGTTGTGACCACCATGTCGGTCCTTCTCATTGAGGACCATCCACCTTTTTGCTGCCCCTCTCCTTTACCACACACTAGACCCTTCTCCTGGGCTGGTCTCTCCTGACATGTCCAAAATATTTAAGATGAAGTCTCGCCACCCCTGCCTCTAAGGAGCATTCTGGCTGCACTTCTTTTAAGACAGGTTTGTCTATCCTTTCAGCAGTCCATGGTACTTTCAACATTCCTCACCGTTCTTCTCAATTCGAAGGCATTGATTCTTCTTTGGTCTTTCTTATTCAATATCTGACTTTCACATGCATAGGAGGGAATGGAAAATACCATGGCTCAGGCACACCCCAGTCCCCAAAGAAACATTCTAGCTTCTCAGTACTCGAATGAGGTCTTGTGCGGCAGATTTAACCAATGCAGCTTTTCAGAAGGCAAACAACCGGCTTACGCGTACATATGAATGTGGCTATCTTCAGAATAAGTGTGGATTTTAAAGCAATAATTGCTTTCCAACCTTTGTCATATAATAAAATCTAGTTATCTTAAGGTAGGCTTGGTATTTGAAAACTGCTCAAATATATTTGGAGATCTGTCTGATGAAGAAGAGGGTGATTGGCACTAGGTTTACAGATATTTCTTACATACCTATCTCTTCGGACACGTATCAAATGGACACGTGAGCGAACCCACAGATTTTCTTTAAAAAACAACTTATTTTATTACAAACAAAATAATCTTACACTCTTATAAATAAAACTATGTGATACTATAGCTATAAAACATACTATTTAACATAAAACATTTGAGACATTGGGCTCAACATATCCTTATGGATCTCTTTGGTTGATCAGTATGACAGTTTTTGCATTGTTTGACTTTACATTTTATGTTTATTTTTTAAGATCCTTTTGACCATGTTTATATTTATCACTGAAGTAATGCTTTCATGAATGAAACAGATTTACCGGGATTAATATTCAGTTTAAGTTCACACCAAATTGACATGTATCCATGGAGACAGATATACCATACAGAGAATTTCAAGTTTAGAAGACTTAGTAGAAAATTAATTTGGAAGAAAAAAATAAATTTGAATATAGATTTGTCTCATTAAGGATAACAGTCAACATAAATGGTAGGAGATAAATATAAATGGTTTCTGTAGTTTTTGTTGAGGAAATCAAAATGCTGTGGCCCATAAACCTATTCTTAAGCTGGAGATTGTTAGTTAGATTAAGGTTTTTGGCAGAATCGTGGAGTAAACCAATTTATGAAAGCAAAGTTTCTACATGCTAGAAGCCTGCCCCTCTAAATTTGAAGTTACTCGTATTTTTCACCACTTCGTTAGGAATCTATAATATATTTTTCCTTTGAGGTATGTGTAGTGTGTTTGAACATAGTTGGGCTGCTAACCACAAGGTTGGCAGTTTGAAACCACCAGCTGCTCTGCGTGAGAAAGAGGAGGCTTTCTACCCCCGTACAGAGTGACAGTCTGGGAAACCCACAGGGACAGGTCCACCCTGTCCTATAGGGTTGCTATGACTCAGAATCGACTTGATGACAGTAAGTTTGGTTTTGGTATGTTTAAATGTAATTCACCTTTTAATGTCTCACGAATGATACTGACATTTTAAAAATCTGGATGGCCAAGAAACTAACTTTTTCCCTTCCCCCTGAAAACTCTTGAATGCTTGACTTTCAGGTGGTTTTATTGAGGGGGGAGGAAAGGAGGGGACCGTTTTAATTGTTCTGCTGTCTCTTTTCTTAATGGCATGCTATCCGCATTGACAAAATTCTGTGCCTCCATGGCCACTTAACATTGCTTTTCTTTGCCCTTGGAATCTTTTGTTTTGTTGCAAATTAGGGCTACAGATAACCACATTTATTGGAAGTATGTGAAAAATCCGAAAAGACTTTAGTTCATTCTTGGTGGATTTGTGTCAGCCGTTCTCCCGTCTGGCTGTGCATTACAGTCACCGACAGAGCCCTTTCCAGTTACAGATACCAAGCCCACTCTGTAGAGTCCTAGTCAGGGGTGTCCCGTCTATACTTTCAGTAGGCCAACGTGATGATGATATAGCCTACGAACCTCAAGACTTGGTAAACTTTTGAGCCAGAAGAGCTGATCCTATCGCTTCACAACAATTTAAAAATTATGCAAGATCCCCAAGTATAATCTTAGAAACAAAATCACCGTTATCTGAATAATACCCTGTAAGTGAACTGTGATCGTTTTATTTTCAGTTTTACTTCAGAGCTACATGTACGTTGTGTCAAAACCGTATTTGGCTCATGAGTTGCAGTTTGCAGTGTCACCACCGACTTTGCTATTGTTAGGAGAGAGCATTTCTCACCTTAGAAGGGTTTTATGAGATGGGTGAGGTAACAAACTCCTAGGACTCCTCTTCAGTCAATCTTCACAGTATTGTCTAATCTGTTAGCATAAACTTTTTCATTTGTCTTAGCAATTGAGTGAGCTAGGATAGAGCTCTTTGAATTTG